TAAACCTCCATAATTTTAACAACATACTTATATTTACTACGCAGTAGCTACCGCAAAATTTTATATGGGCCCTCACCAGCCTTGGTTCGGTTCTGGTCCAGTTCTGATCGGCTCTCTGCAGCCATTGAGCAGCAGATGCTTTTGAAGAGAGCAGGACCTTCGGAGAGCCAGCACAAAAACACACAATGGTCCCGATCGAGTCCAAATAATCCAGAGGAATCTGGATAAAAAAAAGTCTGGGTAGGCTCCGGAGAAGACACTGGACCTCCAAGCAATGTCTTCCCGCTCGAGAGGCTTCATGAGCCGGGCAAGCATCACTCAGATTGACCGATGAGGCTGGAAGTAGCCTTGGTCTGGTTCTGATCGGCTCCTGCAGCCGTTGAGCGCCAAAGTCACTATGAATAAGGACCAAACTTTTTAGTCAAGTTCAGACCAGATCAAAACTTTCCCTCCATTTCAGCAGAAAGCAGTGGCTGGAAGCACTGTTGGCTTCTGGGTAGTGTAGTTCTTTTTTGACTGGCAATACAATGCAGGGTTATTGAAAGAAAACTACAAAATGGCGGCACCGGTCCAAAGTATTTTTTTTTCCATTAATTTTTTATTCTGTACTGTCCCAATCACATGAGTAATATTAAAGTTGACAATCGTTGAAAAACAGCGAGAGCGAGTCCGTGAAAGTCGAACCACGAAGCAGCGAGGGACTACTGTACTCTCATCTAGACCTTGCATATTCTAGCAAAACAATGCTAAATTGCATAATGCATCCATAACAACTGCTAGGCTTTGCAGTTGAAGAGTCTGCAGACCAGTTCAGTAACTGAACGTATTTGGTGCATCATAAAACAAAAAAAATTGTCAAAGAAGCGCCAGGTCTTTTGAACAGCTTGCATCTTACATCAAACAATAATGGGACGACATTCCCCTTCAAAAACTACAGCCTAAGATCCTAAATGATTACAGACTATTGTTGAAATGGTGTAATTTCTCAGTTTAAACATTCAATATGTTTACTATGTTCCACTGTGAGTTAATGATGTGAATATGGGAGTTGTAAACCATAACATTTTTTAAATTACCATTTTACACAATGTTCCAACCTTTTTGGAATTGGGGTTATAAAATTAAAATGCCACCAACACGGTCAGTTATAGCTAATTAGCAGAAGGAGTAAACAGATAGGAAGGAGAAAAAAAAGGAAAAAACATGTTTTCCAAAAGAGCAGCACATGGCGATGTCTGTTCCAGTGCTGTTTTCATCCAACAGAGCACAAGACTAACATATGAGCAATGTGGACAGCAAGTTTCAACCAGTCACTAATCCAAAGTAGCAACACACCCAATCCCTTGATGCAGCCATTGGCAGGAAAGCTTATTATGAATGTGTGAGTTGTTTGTGTGTCTGTTTAAAATCCCTGTATTGAGTCTGACGCTGTGAGTTGCAAAGCTGTGTGAACATGTGATTAATTTATGTAGGCCTCAGCCTCTCTATCCACTGGTGGCGTAGATTGAGGTTGCTGAGATTTATCTCTTGCTTTATTTATTTTTTTCCTGCTACACATCTGTTTTAAATGTAGTTAACAGGAACAGTGTGGTCAAACATATAAAAACACATAACACTAAAATTGGGTTGGCTCCAGAAGTTCATCAATTGTAGATGTAAAGCCAATGATTACCTTCTAAAAGTGTCTTTTAAATCCATCCAGTGGTTTATGAGATTTTGGTAACACTACATACAAACGCATACACGCATACGATGGAGCTTTAGGGCCACGCTAAAAAATAAATAAATAAATAAATTACATTGCCATGCTAAAAAAAAGAAAAGAAATTAAAAGCCATAAAATTACGAGAATAAAGTCGTACAAGACTCTTTTTTTTTTTTTTACAGCTCTCGTTTATTATTATTTTTTTTTTTACAAAAATCAGATCCACTACGCGACCTGTCAATCGATCCGGTAGGCGTGTCAACAAATTACCAATCCAAAGCTAAATGAGTCATAATATTATACGAACTCTGACACGGTAAAGCAGGGTTTACCAAATCTTAACTGTGGTAAAATTAAAAATGTTGAGCATCTTGTTAAGTTATACTTTGGTGTTGGTTTTACAAATGAGATAGTTAAGTTAGCACATCAGAATCAAATTATTATCAGTATCAGGACTTTAAACCTGCTTACAGTAAGGTGGTACGCTCTGATGGTCTGCAGCACAACTCTGCAGGTAAGGAGCATTTAGCTTCGGATTGGTCATTTGCTGACGCGCCTACTGGATTGACTGACAGGTCGCATTGTGGATCTGACTCGTGGAAATAAATAAATAAACGAGAGATGCAAAAAAACAAAAGTCTCGTAATTCTACAACTTTATTCTTGTAAATCTATGACTTTATTCTCATAATTTTACGACTTTATTCTCGCAATTTTATGGCTTTTTATTAATTTTTTTTCCTCAGCGTGGCCCTAAACCTCTGGCGTACACACACACCGAAAATGGCAACAACAACAAAAAAAAAAAGTTGCCTTTTGCCTCCAGCTGCGAGTGACGATTAGAAAATACATATATTTCACACACGTCTAGAAACAGAAGCCTTCCTGCACAGTATGCTTACTGGAGCTGTTCAAAAGTGTCATTATGGGATGAAGCTCTGAATAAGTTTCAAAACAGATATTCTCGTTAGTGGCGCCCTGTCCATCTGTATTCTAACTATTGTCGTCCAGAAAATTCAGTTGTTTTATTTTAATTCTATTCTTTATTTAAAGCTGAATGACATAAAACCCTTTTTCTTGGGAGAAGGACAGACGGGACCACAAACACACCTAGCTTGATGATAGCTGTAAACACAGCTGAGGTAGTCTCTGACATTCAGACATGAATGGGTAAACAAAAACCCATCATTTGCTAAAAGTGCACCGAAGAGGAAAAAAGTAGTCTCCATGCAATCAGCCTTTTCAGAGCAACTTTTATCACACCAAGAAACACTAATTGACAGGTTTGATGGCTCACTAATAGTGTTCTGAATAAATGGAGCTGAGCCACATTCTGACACACTCACAGTCATTTTAATAATGAAATGTTGACAGCAGTATTCTGTGGGCATAATCTTCAACAATTAGTGGCTGTATATGCAGCGCTATTCTAGGAAAAAAATGTAAAAAACAATAACACTGATAAGCTTTCTACACCCCTCATTCAAGACAATAAACTACTTGATGGAGGCTGTGGTGCTAAAGCAATAAACACAACACAGAAATTAAGAACTTACTTGATGAGAATCAATAAAGGTTTATTGTAAGGTTTCGTGCTCTAAAAACCTTGCTTGAGTGTATGCTATGTTTAACTTTTTCTACCTGTATTTGCAGCACGATGATCTCTTCCTCCAGTTTTCTCTTCAGAGGCACCTCCTTATTCTTCTGCTCTATTTGTCTTCTCTCCTCATTAGTCTCTAATTGTAATTCTCTCATGTTCTTTTCCAGGGTCTCCAGCGCTGCTTTGCCCCTAGTGATGGCTGCCTCCAGGTTGTTTATCTGCTTGTGGTAATTGAACAAAACTTTGTCCTGTTCCAAGAGTTGGACTCCACTGAATATATACAAAATAAAGGGCATTATTGTTGGTTAAATAAATAGACAAATTCATTTATGAAAACTTCAGGCTGTAAACCTACAGAAAGTTGCGCCGCTGGATGACAGTTTCCTGACTTCTGTTTAGTTCCAGAAGTGTCTCCTCCTGAAGTTTAATCATTTGTTGGAGTTTTATTAGTTCTAGTTTGTTGTCTTTGCTCTGTTCACTGATTTGACTTTGCTTCCAGGTAACCTACAAGTGATTCAGATAAAAAGATCAAGAGCAGGATACACAATGTACAATCTGATGTATTTATCAAGGGGGCCAGTGCATAAGCAATGAAGCACCCTTATTACTATTCTCTAAAAACTCTAGTCCTGTATCATATTAAAGCACAGCTTCAAAATAAATACAATTATACGCACAAATGTGCGGCTCGTTAGGGAATGGTGCACTATCAGTTTTGCTAGCGGTTCTTTGAACAACCAAGATGTGCCTAAAAATGTGAGAAATAAATAATTAAGGTCAATGGGATTTAGGAAAAACGCATGAGAAAACCCAGCCCACTTTACAGCTCTACAGCTCCGACGTATTTTACATTTAAAACATCATTCAAAGTTAAAACAGCACTTAGAAAGCAGGGCTTTACACGTGTAAACTGGCATTATAACATATTTTATGGTTTTTACACATTCACAGCTTTAAGTTTTAGGATTTTTATAGAATTTCCCATGAAATGTTTAACTGACAATTATCTAACTTTTGAGTTGCCTAAAATTTTCTAATCTATTGCCAAAAACTATTTTACTTCCTACAGTGTTCAGTCAGGTCTTCTGGACGGTTTATTTATTTTGTTTTGCTGAGACGTTTCGTCCTTCATCCAAAGGACTTCTTCAATCTGAGGAGCCACCAAAACAAAGTGTGGGTGGTGGCTCCTCAGATTGAAGAAGTCCTTTGGATGAAGGACGAAATGTCTCAGCAAAAAAATAAACTGTCCAGATGACCTGACTGAACATTATTGGATTTTTACCTGGATTATTGAGCATGAAGTTCAGTATTTTACTTCTTACATTTTTTTAGGAACATAGACATTTTACATCAAAATGCCAGAGGATTTTTGTCTTCTTTCACTCAGTGTGGTGCTAATTGCTATAGGACATGTGGCGTTCTCTTAAATCCTTCAGAATGCAGAAACTGCACATCCAAACTTCCATTTTGGCAAAACAGTTCTGTGAACTGGCAGAAAAGGCCAGTCTGTGCTGCCTCTGACCACTCATAAATGACTAATGAAGCAGCCATGTTGCGCTTAGACCCGAGCTTGCAGTAATGAAATGAGCTTCACGAAACCAAAAAAAGTGGAGCAGAGCTCAGCTGTTGGTCTGGAGCACTTCACATGGAATATGTAACAAACTGTCTCCCTCAGACCCTTTTCAAAACCTTACTAATTGACTAAGTTCAGCAATTCTATTTGTGGTTAACAAAACTTTTTGAACTAAATGCAAAGTTGCTGAGCGTCGTCAGCAGCCTTCCACGTATGTGGAATGTGATGTGTACATCAAACATACTCTTGTTGGTCCAACTTGGTTTTAAATCTCTGCAGTAAATCTTTGCTTTTGAATGTTTAGCAGTAAAATGCTTGACAAAGATCACTGCGGGATATAATCATTTCTTGCATATATTAGCTTGCAGTTCTGAACAAACAAAAACAACATATTACACCTAATTGCAAAAGCAATTTGGAAGGGCATGCAGCATGTAATGCCTCCACATAGCTGTAGAAAATTACTTTAAAAAACAGTCGGAGGCGCAAACTTGTGGTGCCGACTGCGCACCAGCTCACGAACTCCAAAGTGAGCTGTGTGTGTTTATGCTGCTCAAGCGTCTCATGAAAGACAACAAATGCTGAAGTGTTTGCTTCGCTTTTTCAATACAAAACAACGAAGAGCCCTGCTAAAACGTTTGAGCTTGGTAAGAAAATCAGCAGTAGTTTCAGAACAGCTACGGTTGTTTAGTATGGATTTTGCTCGAGGTTCTTTGAACTGCTGAAATCAAAGTATTGTTTGTGTAACCTGTTTACGTGTTAGACTAATGATACAGGCTTAAAGCAGTGACGTTTTTCCCATAGTGTGCATTAATGTATGTGTGAACCTTGGAGATGTCATTACGTAGTTTTTCCCTCATTTTGGAGCTATTAGAAACCCTCATTCGAGCCTTAGTAAGAGATCTGGAAAATGCATAAAAAAAAGAGAAATTAAAAATAAAGTTACTGATGCGGCTGCACAAACTGAAACGTATCGTGACTCAGATAAAAGCTCAAAGCCATGAACACACCTGTCTTTGCTGACAGCAATGGCGCGCTGGATTTCCATCTCGTTTTCCAGCACTTTAATCTGCTCTGTCAATTCTGCGATCGTCTGCGAGGCAACGTCCTTCAGTCTCACATACTTATTTTTCTCTCCCGTGAACATATCGCACAGTTTGGAATACTGTGTTATTCTGGGGGAAAGAAAGAAAAAAAAACGCAATGATCGCATATTTTGTTTATACCATTGTGTCTCTGTTCTGCAAGATAAATTGCACATACTTACAGTACTAAGGATTTTTTTGTGCTTCTAAAACAAATGACAATAATTATCCAATCTTAAAATCAAAACTTCATAATTAATCAAAATGTTGAGTAGATTAAAAAGATAGATAAATTGAGGTTTCATGCAGGTTGACACTTCAATTAATTCATTTTAAAATTCATGTTCGGCGCAGGGTGTGAACAATGATTAGTAAATATGAAAAACATCAGAAAATAAACAAGTTTTAATTATCATCTTGGCATGTTTTTGCTTTTGGATAATTGATTCCACATGAAGAGCAGCAACATCAGGATGCAGTCTGTTGCCGTGACCTTAATGAATGCATCTGAAGTGTCTGCTGTTGAGCTGCGGGGTGCCGTAGGCATTAGTCTGTGTCTGCATGCTCGAGTATGACCAATTAGCAAGACACGGATTTCTCTACAGCGTCGCGTTTATTATGACACACAGTTTGAATACAGGAAAAAACACCTTCGCTGTAGCTCTGCGTTGCGCTTGTTGTGGTCCATGATGATCAGGTCTTTCTCTCCGAGCTCCCGCTGGATGCGGTCGGTCAGTTGCTGTGGACAGATTTAAACATGAATATCACATTTCTGTGTTATACTGGATCAGTATTCACACTACATTATTTATATTATGTTTTTCACACTTTTTTTGGCAATTGAATTACTTCAGCTTATTTATATTGTGCTATTTTAGCCATTCATATATCAAAATGTTCAGCTCGTGTAGGAGTGTGGTGCTAAGACTATGGTTTGTGTAACTTTTATACTTTTTAACTTTATTGACAAACATTTTGCCCATAAAATACATCGAGACCCCTTCAGTAACATTGTTCATTTTGAACCCTACCTAAGCTTGATCACTATGCTTTTGTCTACTTATTCTACTTTTAGAAATATTTTGCCATTAGCTAATCTTGTCCTAGTTAAATGAGGGCACAGATTGTAGTGTAAAGCGCTTTGAGTATCTTGATCAGATAAAAAGGAGTTATATAAGTACAGCCCATCTACTTTGAGCTTTTAGCTACATTTTATCTACTATTATCTGTTGCTATTTTTATCTGTCCGTTTGTTACTTTTAGTTTCCAACTAACCCTTTAATACTTTTGGTTTATAGATAGAATTTTAATCATTTTAGCTTTTAGCTAACTTTTTGTTTTGAGTTGTTCTTTTGCTACCATTACATTCTAGCTAGCCTTTTTGCTACATTTAGCCAGCCATATGATACTATTCATTTTTAGGCTTTTACTTCTTCTTATCTAGTGTTTTTATTTTTTTTACTTTTAGCTAATATTTTGCTCTTTTTAGTAATTAGTGTTTGCTTCGAGGGCGAGATGGGGTAGAGGTTGGGCATCTGACCTGGGACCAGAAAGTCGCGGTTTGACTCCCAGCCATTCCGACACGTTGTGGTGTCTCTGAGTAAGACACGCAATCTTTAATTGCTCCCCGGGCGCTTACATAGCTACCCACTGCTCCACCTGGGTGTATCTCATGTGTGATGGGTTAAATTGCAGAGTACTAATTTCGCCATTGTATGGGAACATACAATAATAATTTCAAACTTCCCTTCCCTTCATTTACAATTTATTTATTTATTTTTTAGCGTCTGCGAAAATGTTTTCCCTAGTTTGTTACAGTGCCCCTTCTGAAGCTTTACATAAAGTGAAATGAGAAACAAGATATGGTGAACTCTTCTTAAATTTATTTGTGTTTGGACCTCTGTTCTTAGCAGTTCACGGTGCTTCTGGCCTCTCTCCTCTGCTTTGATCTGTCTTAGACATTTGAGGTTGTGGAGCTCTTCTCTGAGGCGGTTTGATTCCCTGAGCAGCTCCTGAACCATCCCGTACTGCTGCTTCTTCTGGCTTTCCCGCTCAACCGGTGAAAGCTGCTTGGGAAAAAACAGTTCTCCAGTGAAAAGTCTCATGAATATCTGGGTGAAAATGAAGGGTTACTGACAGCAGAACGGGGATGAAAAGCAGACGAGTCAATCAATAGAAGGAAGATGGATGAATACTGAAACTTCAGCCCAAGAGGTGATACCATAGGATCTTAGAATCTTTCATTAAAAAAATATAGAGAATGAAAACAGCCCAAAAAATAAAACTAGAAAATCTGAAAATACAAAATGTTAATAAACGGTTTATTAAAACTAAGTTGAAGCGGAAACTACTTGAAGTTATAGCCATTTTAGCCACAAATCCCACCTGTTTTTCAAAGCTGACGTTGAGGGCGTCCACCTCTTTCTGAAGCTCCACCCTTTTTCGAATGCTGGCCTCTCGTTTGGGAACAGCTTCTAGCTGAATACTCAGAGCAGAGTGCAGTCAAAGTTATACAGGCTGTTAAAACTTTCTTTCTGATCCTACATCTAATACCTGCTCCTTAAACTTAACGAAAACCATAATAACATGGTGCAATTCTAACCACACCTCATGTTAAATAAAATCATTGAATATTTTATCCTACTGATAAAAAGTGTCTCTGAGGGATTTGGATTCTGTGAATCTGCATTGTGCTCCATGTCTTGAACAACACATTTACAAATTGTCTTTTCAGAAAGAATAATATTTTAATATCAAATATAAGGTTTTTAAACAAGATAATGCAATACCACAAAATGATTTCAGCTACACGAAGCATCTAATAAACAATAACCCTAATGATTTATAAAACCAGACCACAGAACTTTGAAAATAATAAACCTATTAATCACATTCATTAGATTATAATGTCTTTCTGTGGTGAACTCACTGACTCCTCTAAACAGCTGTCAGACAAATTTATCAAAAGTAACCATTCATTCAAGGCATTCTTAACGGGTAAATCAAATGAACCACTTTGAGCAATAGCTTTGTTTTCATTGTTGCTTAAAATGTGAACTTCCTGATGCGTCACATTGATTTCCTGTCATAATTTTGTGCTGATGCATTTCCGATTTGTTTCATCCTCCCTTTTTTATTTTCTATGTGAAAACTGAGCACAGCAGTAAAGTGACGGGAAGACTGAGAAGTTATAAAACCTTGTGTTGTGATACAAATTGACAATTTAATGATATCTATACTCAAAAATATTCCAAATCATGCGGCAAAGACTGATAAATCTTCCTCTAATAGACAGGAACTAGGGATGCACGATATTGAATTTTGGGCCGATATCCGATATGCCAATATTTTAAAACTTATTTGGCCGATAACCGATACAGATACCAACTTTTTTTTTCCTAGATCTACATACAGAGACTACATAGCTTTCTCTGCTATGGAATTAAAATACTATATTATTCTGAATGGTCTTTGTCAGTTTGGCCTGCTACTAAATGCAGATGCCAAAAAGGGGGCTGAAAATGATGTAACACTTCAACTTGGATTATGTTTAACATCAAATTTTGTCACTGGATTGTCATACAAAAACGGTGCTTTTTATATTGGGAAGTTATTTTATGAAATGGTTGATATCCAATATTTAACTTTAACGCCAATATCGGCCGATGCCATGCCGATAATATTGTGCATCCCGAGGATAAACCATATGGTGAAAAGGATGTTTAAAGGTCTTGTTTCAAAAGTTTCTGGTTTAAGCAGCAGCTGAATTTCTAAGGGACGTGAGGAGCATAGCCAAACAATATGCAACTGTTTTAAACAGTTGCAAAACACAGATCAACACCTGTAGCAGCACAATGATGCACAAAAACAATACATCATCTTTTAGTTTGTGGTAAGGATTGGGGAAACGAAAGCAGAAAAAATAACTTCCTGCATTTTAATGTGCATCATTTTGAAGTTGTATTTTTTTATGCCAGATACTTGTGGTTAGGTCTGAAGTAAATACTACAGTATTACTACAGTTGTTTGGAGATGCCGCAAAAAAAATTGTATGTATTTTGTGTAATTATTTTAATCCATTGGAGAGCCACAGTTACTAAAGGAACATAAAAGAAACATTGCTAGCCTTTGAAAGTGCACAGTATTTCATTTAATCATGATGCCCCAAGAGGCCTTGTTCAGAGGAGCCAGATGTAGACGGCAATAGACCGAGGTTCAGGGTGGACATGTGCGAGACTACAACATCAGGAAGGGGGTTAAGAGAAACAAAGAAAAATGTGCTCGCTCCTGGAATCCAGACAAAGAGAAGCGCTCCCTCTGATGTCCTCCCACCAGAGATGCCCCCTCTTTGGTGTGGTCCTCCTGCATCCTGGAGTGCTCCTTGCTCCAGGCGCTGAGCATCGATCGGCTCAGCCTGATGGATGTGCTTGCGCTCCTTCTATCTCTCTCTCTCTTTCACAGCCAAAGCTCACAGTAAACACTCTGGCTTTATTGCCACCTCTTCACTCTTCCCCAAGCCAGTCTGTGAGCCACGCTCTTCAGCAGCATGTCCACATGTTAGAAGAAGACATTTGGATCAAAAATTGAACATGACCTCTCCTGTAAAGCTTGCCCACAGTGGACACGGGTCAGGTTCTGCGCCGTTAAAAAAAGAAAAACTATAGAGAGAGAAATGGGTTTGTATTGTTAGCCTGGTAAATTTCTTAGACAAACTCTTAGCTGGAGGGGTGGCTGCTTGCCTTTTCACACCCAGAGGCAGCATATAACATTGGCTGCCCACACAAATACATGGATAAAATGGCTTCTTATTTGTACAAGGTATTGCTATTGATTTTGTTTTAAATACATTTTGCTCGGCCACCTGAGTATTGGCTTTGTGTCCATTCGAGTTGCTCTCTTAATGTTGTGTGAGGCAAGGCGGTGAACACTGGCTTAGATTGTTATGGTATGTCTAATTTGTACTTTGTTAGTTGACGGAGACATTTTCATAGAAAAAAAATGTTAGTCACATCACAGAAAAATGAAACCACCCCTGTGTTTTATGACTGATTTGTGTAAAATATTCCAGATGTTTGATAATTTTTGGTTCCTTATGACAAGTATATTTTAAACTTCTGTTTTGTTGTCTGTTTCAACACAATGTTTTTTTTATTATTATTTATCAGTTGTCCCTGCTGTTTAGATTGCAGTGCTCTTCTACAAGAGCTTCAGTCAACAAAAACAAAAAAGGTTAAATCATGTCATCTGGACCAGTTTTGTTATCTACCTGGATGATTGAGCCTACAAACCTTTTTTTCTTTTAACTTAAGTCAATCTTTCCTTTGTTAAAAATATGCTTCCCATGTTTACATCTTCAGCAATCTTCATGTCCTTATCTCCCCAGGTATCGAGTCACCCAGAGACCGTGTCCCAGACTATGAGCCTGCAGCAGCCCCCCCAGTCCCAGTATAACATGCCAGACAGGGACAAGCAGCTTCTGTTCTCGGAGTTTGAAAATCTCAGTGCCTCCTTCCGCAGCCTTTACAAGTCTGTTTTTGAGCAGTCCTTCAGCCAACAAGGTGAGCGTCCTCACGAGGGCACTGAATGGAAATCTAACAGAGTCTAAGCTATACTTATTAAAGAAGCAGAAATAATGCTCTGAGCTCCTAACAGCTGGGGCTATAGAAAGTCTTTAGACACTAATGAGGTTTGCTGGAAGCCAGCAGGTACTCAGCCGACTGACTTCGCTGTAATGCAAATTTATACAGAGTCTCCCTGGTCTTTTGCCAGGGAAATGTTAAAATACCTTGTTTTATATTCCAAATGCGAGACTGAAAAGTTATGTCTTAAGCATTTCATAGAGCGATGTAAAGAGATATTGCTGTACTTTATTATTAATTATCTTCTTTATAGTTTTGCCATGACATGAAAGTTAATGTGTTTGGTCCTGTTTCAGTTTTTTTTTTTTTTTT